ACTTCCTCTTTTTTTTTGTAATTCTTTTTGATCTCTTTAGGTTCTCAAGTTTTTCACCAAGTTGAAAAATAAAATCTAGAGCTCAATAATAACAGTTATTTTATCTACATGTGTTATCTTAAAAATATCAAAAAGATTTTTAAAGAATTGAAGTTTTCAAAATAAAATTCATCTTGCGCTGTTTTACAATTTTACTATCAACCGTTAAAAAGGCTTCAATAAAGCTTAAAAACAATAGAAAGAAGCTCAAGGCTCCAAAAAATTTTACCCAAAATGTTTATTCTTCAAACCAAGTTAAATTCAGAACTTCCAGATTTCGGTCAACTGTTCTAAAAGCATAGTTATTCTAGCCAGTGCTGATTTTTAAAAAAAATTGTTTTTCTTAAAGCGTGATTTTGTTTTCTCAGGAATCTGATTAATTGCTAATTTCGAATAGACAAACTCTAATCAAATGAAAAATTCACTTTTATGTAGTTTTAAGTATAATTTCCAAAAAGTTTCAAAAATGTTTCGAAGTCATTATCACTTCAACTTTCCACAACTAAAATGTTTTATGGGGAAAGCACTTTCAATGTTAAAATTTTTCCATTTTTCACAGTTTGAATTTTTCATTTTCATCTTTTTTTTGTGACCTGCAAGTGTATTTGACACACAAAAAATTCAGAATGAAATTCACTCATCGTGCGCTGTCTTACAATTGTACTGCCACCCGTTACAAGCGCGAAATAAAAGCCTAAAAAACTAAAAACAATCAAGGCTCCAGTAGTCTGAAGTCTGTTTTTTCAACGCTCTTCAACGTGTCTGAAACAGTTTAGATGAAAAACTTTCAGGACCTTGAGCTTTTTCTACTGTCTTTCAAGAATAATTTTGCCGCTTTTGTAAAGAGTGACAGAACGACTGTGAAACAATAATTTTTATTCTGAGTTTTTGATCGGCAAAATCTTCCAAGTATTTTTGTAATAAATATTTAGATTTTAACTCCAGGCCTTGATATTTCACTGGGTCAAAAAAAATTTTCATATAATATAAACTTCCCCTTATTTTTTGTAATTCTTTTTTATCTCTTTAGGTTCTCAAGTTTTTCACCAAGTTGAAAAATAAAATCTAGAGCTCAATAATAACAGTTATCTTATCTACATGTGTTATCTTAAAAATATCAAAAAGATTTTTAAAGAATTGAAGTTTTCAAAATAAAATTCATCTTGCGCTATTTTACAATTTTACTATCAACCGTTAAAAGGGCTTCAATAAAGCTTAAAAACAATAGAAAGAAGCTCAAGGCTCTAAGAAGTTTTACCCAAAATGTTTCAGAGAAGTTGAAGAGAGTCTGAAGTGTGTTTTCCCGATGCTCTTGAAAGTGTCTCAAGTAATATAGGGGCAAAAAATTCTGGGGACATTGAGCTATTTTACTGTCTTTTTCTACCATTTTTGTCGCATTTGTAATTGGTGACAGAAGTCAGCGCTCGATGATTTTTATTCTGAGTTTCTGATCGGCAATTATTCATCTAAAGTTTTTTTTTGATAAAGTATTTAAATGACATAATTATCGTTTTAACTCCGGGCTTTGATATTTCACTTGATGAAATTTTTTTTTTTCAAATTTTATCAATTTCTTCTTGTTTTTTTTTTAACTCTACTGTTTCACCTCTTAAGGTTTTCAAGATTTTTTCACCAAGTGAAGTATGAAGGCCTGGAGTTTGCTTCTAATATCCTTGCCCCAAAAGATTATTTGACAATTGAAATTTTCAGAATAAAGTTTATCGTGCGCTGTTTTACAGCCATACTGTCACATGTTACCAGGCGGCGAAAATAGCTGGAAAAGGCATCAGAAAAAGCTTAAGGTCATGAGACATTGTCACGTAAAATTCTTCAGATACATTGAAGAGCTTTATCTTTACAGGATCGGGTTTGTAGGTGTCAAAACAGTAATCAAAAAGGTGGTACTGGTTTTGTGAATACATTTACATTACCTCCCTTCATGTTTTGAACATGTTTTATCTGTTTATTTTCCTCACTTGACTGGGAGGAGGACGTTCTCGGAAAAATTATTTTGATCGAACAATATGGACCGTAAATGAACGCAGTTTGCGAAAGAAGTGGTTCCAATTCAGGTCGATTGCTCTGTTTAATTACACAAGGATATAACTTGTGTTATAGTATGAACTTTCTTTTTTTCCAACCTAAATTGCAAATATTGTTGCGATGCAGTTATTGCGACAAAATCTGTTCATTTTGAAAGTGTTCATTTTGATCCAGCTATTAAGTACAGCGAATGCTAAGGGTATCATCACAGACTATTATATTAAAAATAGCCCTTTAGCTTCAAAGTATCATAAATCCGTAGCGTAGAGGTAGGCAAAGAGACCAGAAGCAAAATAAGAGGGTTCGAACCTGGGCAGGATTGGATGTTTTCAATGAACTTTTCCATATACTAGTTAAAACGCCGAATTTTTGACTACTAATTCTACTAAAGGTCCCTTTTGACTATATCAGATACGTCATTTTTTTTTCAAATAACTCGGGTACTGGAAAAACCTAACACTGAATTTTAAAAAAAATGAAACAATAAAAAAACATTATTTCTTCGCCGTTCTGTCATAATTCAATTCTGCTTGCAAGTAATGACATCTGTAACATCTAACAAATCTGATTGGTTGAAATTTTTTGATCATTTGGTCCCTCTATCATGAGAATACCCCCATCTTGTTTGCCACTCTCTATAAATGTCATCCCATCTTTTTCACGACATATCATCTTACATGGGCAGCTTTGATCATTAAAGGGGCACTACGCCTACAATTATTTTGCTATAACTACATTTCAACGTACATTTCATTGCCCTCGCCCCTCCTCAAGCATTCGAACCCTTGCCGCCCAAAGGGTCCACCTTTTGGTAGTGTATAACACTCCCATTAATGGCCGACCGACCCCAAAATTTTTCTAAAGTTCCCTTTGACGGCAAAATATACTAAACGTATTAAATAATTACTAAATATACTAAATATACTAAAAAGGGGAAAGAAGGCTCCAAAGGGTGAGAGCGTGCCGTCAAACCCTACTGAAAATTGCCAAAAATTGATTATGCCGTTTTCTATTTTTATTTTCATAAACAACCACTCATCAAAAGTTTCAACCGTTTTTGAAAATCCGCCTCCTTCGAGAAAATCCGTGATCCGCTCCTTCGCATTGAGCATAGCTCATGCAACACTTGAACTCGCGTTACCTCCGTTGTTGTTTTGTTGTTGGCTCCCCCAACACTCACCCCTGGACTCCTTACGTGCTTTAAAAACTGCGTAATTACCATAGAACATAACCCAGCTACAACATGAAGTGCAGGGGCGGATTTCGAGATGGGTTGGTATCCCTTTTGCTAAATTCTAACAGGCCAAGCTTAAGTTTTAGCCAACCGACCCTCAATTATTTCGGACGCCAAAATACACTGAATTCGACGGGAAAGCGAGCCCAAAAAAGTGCGCAAGGCGACCTGTTTAGCCGTTTTTTGGCGCGAAAAATGCGGCAAAATAGGTTCCTAATAAGGTTTTGATAGACCTTTGAAAATCATTTTATTCGAAACATTCTTTGAAAGTCTTCCTCCTCGAGAAAGTCCTCAATTTGCTCCCGAGGAAGATGTCATTAGGTAGACACCACCCGTAGACTTCCGCTAATCCTCTTGACACCCACTTTTGACAAAGTTAACCTAACCTACTTTCTAGGTAATCGTGAGTGGTGCCCTTAGCGTTTGACCAATACAGCTGATAGAAAAAATCGGTGATGAATAATGAATGTATACTATAAATTCAATTCGTCAGTAAAATACATCAGTACTTAGCACTTTCTGTGTTTTTGAAATTTATATTTGATTCAGCTGCAGTTGTTGTTCCGACCATTGAAAAAAGTGGAAGAACTTTGTATTGGGGTGCGGTTTAGTTTTTTTTCCACACAAAATCAGGTACCACAAATAATCATCGGTATGGATCGGGTGATAAAACATAAAAGCTTTTTCAGTTGTGTTTCGGACGCCATTAAAAATGTTCAAAACGTTGCCAGTGATGAAAAAAATTTGATTAAAATTTTTGATTTTTGACTCAATTTTGAGCGAGTAAAGCGATCGAGTAACGATCATTACATAGAAAATTACTTTTAATAAGAGTTTTAAGCTAAAAATACTAATTTTACTATTAATTAGAAATTTCATTTTTTTCCATTAATTTTGTCATTATCTTTTGAAGACAAATGTTGTCAATTGTATCTTCTACCTCGCTAAGTTTATGCGCGGTTCTATAGTTCTAAAATTACACCACGCACTAAAACCGACACTAATTTGAAGAAAAGAAAAAAAAACATTTTCCTAATTAATATGGTCGGAACATTCTGTTTGCACAGCAACTAGCTATCCTTGCTGAAGTTTTGTTAATTTCTATCCATTTCACAGAATGAGTTTCACTGTTGTTGCAGCAATGCATCTCATTTATTTCTTCTGCTGCTGTCTGGCCGCTGCGCCGTTCCGTTTGATCTCCTGTGCTCGCGCCCTCTCAGCCGCCGCACCTGCTACACTTATGCCGACAGAAGGAAAGTTCACATTTGAAATTCAAATCATCATGCACAAAATAATTTTTCAAAGTTTTCTAAGCCAAAACGACAACAAATCCTGCTTTTGTAAAAACAAATGTTCCACGAAAACAAACGAACCAACGGATTTTTTGTTTTTGTATACTTACCTCTCCCACACACCGTAAATCATTAATTGATAGTGTTACTTGCATAACAATAAAAGCATGAGTGTTATTAGACTGCGTTTAAACTGGTTGAATGGTCAAAAAACGTTTAAAAAATGGGGAAAATTCATCATGTAAACTATTTGCTCCCCTATGACACCTTGTAAAGAATTGGCTCCTGTAAAAAAAAGAATTAAACTCTAAAACATATACTAATTGCGTACCTTGTAATGAATTTGGCCCCCTTTTGCAAAGGGGGCGGGGGGGGGCAATAGTTAACAAGATCTAAAAGATAGTTTTTGCAGCAAAGTTCTTTCAATTGGCAAAATTTGAGCCTCATATTTTAAAGCAAATGATTGAACGTGGACAATCCTGGGTTTCCGTTTTTCTGTTTCTTGTCGGCCATTCTGTTGTGGTATTCAGTGTGAACAAATTCTCTCACGCGACTTGTATCCTTGTAACCCCCCTTCCAACCCATGGCATTGTCCAGTCTGTTAGACCACTTCCTATCGTCCGGGTGGTTGGACACCCCCTTTTCTTTGGTCACTTTTCCGTATCTTCCTCCTGAAAAAAAGATCGGATCTACTTAACGATCTCCACACCTTTCAAGAAGGGGGGATTGTTAAGTAGATCAAAATGGTCGATTTTTCGACCAATCAGAATGCAGCAAAACAAGAATTCGCAATAGAAAGCTCAGTGCTTATTTACTGTATTTATTTATAGTGGTGGAGATTCTTAAGTAGGTACCATAGGATGGGGGGGAGGGGGATTGTTAGATGGATCCAAAAGATGAAATTATCTTGTTCGCTTTTTTTTTATTCTAGATGAAGAATTGGTAAATGGGTAAATAAAGTATGTACCATTTGTTGCAACAAGAATATGAAAAGCGCAGATGAACAGAAAAAGGTAGAAAATGAAGTCTCTGCCGAAACACATCATATTAGATTGAAAACCTGTAAAAGAATAAATATGACTTAGTTTTCGTTTACTTCGTGATTTCAGCGAATTCAAAAAAAAAGATGTACTTGGCGTTTTGTCAGAAGCAAGTGAGGTGAACCTATCTGAAATGAGCAAATGATGTAAGATGAAAGTAAAAGAGCAAGTCTCTGTAGACACACAGGAAACATTTAGTTATTTAGCCTATGTTTGGCCATGTTCAACAAAGTGAACAGAATTACGAAGACTTTGCGTTATAATTTAATAGCAAAATGTCGACAGATCTTTAATAGCATTTTAGGCTTTCTTTTGACATCTACACCCAGTTTTTTTTGCAAGCATTTGCCTATGAGTAGGCCCAAAATATCCAAGACACTAAGCATTGCCAAAGCAAAACTTTATCTGGAAAAACTTTTTCAAAGACCAAAACATCCTATTTTGTTCGGCGTAACATTGCAATCAAAACTATTATCAGGAGCAACAATTTTAAGCTCACTCAACCTGACATTTAAAGTTATGAGCCACATTTTTCGGAAAAAAAACGGAAAATTTTTTTGGCGAACCTTGATTTTATAGCGTAGAGCAAGGTGCTTAACTAATGAATGAGAAAATTTTGCGTGAGGATCTTTTTAAATTCTTTTGTTGTTGCTCCACTTTAGAATGAAGTGACTTAAGGCAAAAAAAATTCTAGAGGGCAAAATATTTCGAAAAAAAGTGTTTTTCAAGAACAGTTCTTTCTTTCTCATGTTTTTTAAGAACAGAAAGAATTTTTCATTCTTTGCTTCTTCCATTTTGAAAAATTGGTATCAGTGAAATCATTAGATTGTTTGAAAACAGCTTTGTAATTGTTAGTGTTCAGACTTCTTATCAGAACTTTTGCTCCAGAGCAAAAAATATTGTTGTTTGGCAACTTGCTGTGACTTTAGCAAATTGGTAGAAAATGATGTGAAACATCATAAAATGGAACTCGGTCAGGTATATCATAACAACAAACTTCAAAATCGCCAAACAACTCTTCGAATTTTCTGTTTTTTGTATTTGGTATTATTTGGTATCAAATTGACAAAAAACTAATTTTTAAAAATAACACAGAGCTTGAGAAGAAAATGAAAACAAGCAAGGATTATTTTTCGAACCTAGAATATTTTTCGAAACATTACTTCAAATATCTCATAAAATGTCAAAAAACAATTGTTTTACTTCGGTCCTTATGTTTATAGCTCAACATCTAAGACTTCATTGAATCTGATCCTTAATAAGCTCAACTAGCATCCCGCATATCGAATCTCTGGATCAACACAATAACAATAATTTTTGTTCAATTGTTAATCTGGCTCAACACAATATTCAGCACAGTATATCGCCGACTTAGGTCAGTATTTGGGATTCCATCAATCCTAAACACTGATCTAGTTGGTGGAGAGCGAACTCAAATCAAGAAGGCAGTAATTGGGATGAGGTGAAACAGTGAATTGAAATCATAGGGCTGTATTTGAGATGAGTCGAAAGTGAATGAAATCATGAGGTCAGTGTTTGAGCTGAGATGAAACACACTCACTATACACCATGGTTACTACTCTGATAGAGTGATCCCTCGAAAAAACCACTATGATAGACAGGTCCTGCATGTAATAATTCAAAAACTAACTTGTGTGTAAATAAGATGTTGAGTCAGAAAATTTCAGACTGAGATTTCTTATAATTATATTTTTTTTATATCAAAAAATATGATTGCTTTGACTTATTTTACAATTTAACAACCATTTTTGTTGTAAATTATTTGTCATTAAATCTCAATTTTGGCGTTTTTTTAACTGTTTATTCTAAAAATCGGTAGGAGAGGAGTTTTTAGGAAAAATGAATAAAAAACAATTTGTTGGAGAATATGATGCGACATCTTTCTGAGTAGCTAACATAAAAATTTTAAATCGTTTTAGAGAGCTCTAAATGTCTTTTCCTCAAGGGACATTATTACTCTAAAGGGACCGCTCTATTATATTAGTACCCCTTTTATGGAGAGTACAATTTATAACAACAGTTATCATTTTAATTTGCATAATTGTAAAAATGTAGGTTTGGAGAAATGGAAACTCAATTTTGCTCACTGAAATACAGTTCGATAGAGATGGGTCCAAAGCCTTAACCACTCGGCCAATTTGTCCTAAAAATACCATCAAGCAAGCAAAACTAACCAAAAGATAGATTCAATATGACTGACTCAGTGACTTTTCAAACTGTCATTCAAACTCGAGCTTTTATGACTAAGGAGTCAGCTACCGGATGCGGCGAAATCAGAAGTACGCGATTTTAGGCAACAATAAAACGGATGAATTCAGAAATTGATTATTTTGAAGAGCAAACTCGTGGCATCTATGATCAAAATTTTTGTCAAAACACCCTTTTATTAGGACTTATTTTTTTTGAAGAGTAGCGTTGAACCTCATTATAGTCTAACTTAAAAAATTTGTCCCATCTTTAATAATTGTCGGAGGTTTGTATGGGGAAGCTCCTGTGATCCATGATCAGAAAATTATGATTCTCTTGTCAAAAAATTATTTTCTTTGCTAAAAACCTACTTTTTATGGCGAGTGTTTTTATGGGGAAACTCCTGGGATCTATGATCAAAAAATTATTAATTTCTCGTCAACACATTGCTTTTTTTTTGCTAAAAACCTAATTTTTATGGTGCTTGTTTGTGTGGAGAAGCTCTTGGGATCAATGATCAAAAAAATTTATAATTTCTTTGGCGAAACTTTGTTTTCTATACAATAAACCTGATTTTTATTGGTTGTTTTTTTGCTGTTCTCTGGGGTATCGCTTTTTTTGATTTTCAAAGATGTCAATCTCTCAATCTCTAGTTTTTTTTCCAAATTTTTGATTTTTAACAAAAATTTTTATATCAAAATTAAACTAAATAAAAAAAACAATGGTTTAAAGTAGATCAGGGTTAAAAACTTGGTGCTTGATTTTTTTTTGATTTTGTGACACTTGGTTGTTTTGTCGGAGTAATCCCAAAGATTCATTTTTTTTATTCAATGTTCATGATCCTGAAAGTATAGGTTTTTACGGATAAAAATTCTTTTTCTCACGGGTCTATCAGGCATAAAAAAAAATTCAGTCATGTACAAAAATGGGTTGATCACATTCATTGCTAAATAGATATCGGCAGGCAAACTTTAGTGAAAACTTCAAAAAAAATTCAAAAATTGTCAATTTTTTTCATAAATCTTCTCACTCCATAAAAGAATATTTTCGTTGTCCAAAAAACTTTTCTCTAGATGTGTGTACTACAGCGTCACTATAACGTTTACTCATGAGCTTGCCTGTGTTTTGATTTGATGGTCGCTCTTTTCGAACTTTTTTAGCGTCTTTGTTACTTTGATAATTTCGGCTCTTTGCTATATCTTATAGAAGTTTATGGGAAAGGGAAGCCTAAGGTAAGCGTCGGATTGCCAACGGACTTAGTCATTGGTTTTGCAATTCTGTTTGGGCAAAAGTGTTAATGTTTCTCAATTTTTGTGTGTCCAAATATGTTTCCGGCTAGCTGTAAGACATTAGGTCTTTCACCTTGTCTGTTTTAAACTCAACTAAGGTTGGTTCTTTTTTTCATGGCGTCATATAGCACTTTGTCTCTCATTTAGATAAGACTAGTTTTTGGGCTATGCGGAAAAAAAAGATGCGTTGGATTGATGAGAAAAAATACAGGATTTGAGATCAAAAGAATGAAGATCAAAGCTGGTCGTTTGACAGAAATTGAGATCGAAATCAAATGTTTGACAGGAATTGAGATCGAAGTTAGAGGCAAGAATTGAGAAGGAATGTTTTGAGATTGCAACTGAGATTTCAGCTGGTAACTGATCAACTTAGTAATTGAAATTGAATTTGTTGGTGACCACCTAAAAACCAAATATAGAGTAAAAAGTACATGTATGTTACCGAGGAAAATGTGGATTCCAATTACAGTTTGAGGAATTTACAACTTACAGATTCCGCTTACAGTTGCGGATTCCGGAACAGCTCGTTTTGAATATACACATGTCTTTTTATTTGTTTGCGGATTCCAAAAACGTTGCGGACTCCGCCAATACTGTCGTGATTCCACAAGTTCGCCTAGTTCTGGAAGGGTTTTGAGCAAAACACTGGTTTCGGTTATTGCTTGTGGAATTCAAAACACTAAAGAAGACCATAGAAAAGTTACGGATCATAGCAGAGAAGATCATCGCAACATTGCGGGTTTCGCGACAAATCTGATATTGGCTTGTTGCGTAATCCACTTACAATTTACTATATGCAAAGTTTGGCTAATAAAATGCAGATTCAACTTGCAGTTTGCGTATTCCGTTTAAAATTTGCAGATTGCGCTCACAGTTTGGTGATTCCGCTTACAGTTTCGGATTCCGCAACAGCTCAATTTAATTATACCCATGTCCTTTTATTTGTTTGTGGATTTCACAAACTGTTCAAGATTCCGCAAACATTGTTGCGGATTCCGCAATTTTGCCTAATTTTGGAAGGATTTTGAGCGAAACAATGGTTTCGGTTTCTGTTTGTGGAATTAAAAACAATAAAGAAGTCCATAGAAAAGCTACGGATCATAGCAGAGAAGATCATAGCAACGTTGCGGATTCCGCAACGAATTTGATATTGGCTTGTTGCGAAATCCGCTTACAATTTAGTATATGCACAGTTTGGCTAATAAAATGCAGATTCAACTTGCAGTTAGCGTATTCCATATACAATTTGCAGATTGCGCTTACAGTTTGGCGATTCCGCTTACAGTTTGCGGATTCCACTTACACTTGCGGATTCCGCTACAGCTCATTTTAATTGTACACATCTCTTATTATTTGTTTGTGGATTTCAGAAACCGGTCCGGATTCCGCAAACACTGTTGTGGATTCCGCAAATTCGCCTAGCTTTGGAAGGATTTTGAGCGAAACGCTGTTTTCGGTTATTGCTGACGGAATTCAAAACATTAAAGAAGGCCATAGAAAACTTGCGGATCATAGCAGAGAAAATCATAAAATTGTTGCGGATTCCGCAACGAAAATGATTTTAGCTTGTTGCGGATTAAGTTTACAATGCACTGAACGCACAGTTTGGCAAACAAAATGCGGATTCCGTTCACAATTTGCGGGTTATTTCAA